ATGAGACAGCATCTTTCTAAAATGAAAATGATATGTAAGTCTTAGTGGACTTCCTTAACACTGGGATATTTTAAAAAATTTAAAAATCACTGAAGTTTTCCTCCCTCTCTTTGCTACCTACCAGAGAACATGGATTACTGAGCCAGTATTCTACTGTGTCATTCACTTCCCCTGTGGCATTTGCAAAAAATAACTTTTCTGCTTCTATAGAAGCTCCTTAGCCAGGTTTATCTCGCTCTGTCAGATCTTTATTTTCAATTAACACAGATATCTGTGTGTTTCTAGCAATGATTTCACGACCGATTTACTTTTGGTGACCCCTTTTCGATGTGGCATCTGGGACTGGTCAATAACTGTGGCAGTTCAGTGTTGACTGTCCTTCCAGCAACTGAGTTGATTGCACTTCCGTGAGTGATACTGTCTGCACACTGTTGTCCAAAGGGTAGGTCGTGCCTGTCAATCATAGGTGTTGCTCAAGCAAATACTGACAACTACAGAAAGCATTGTATAAGTAAAATACCGATCAGTATTTTTGGAACAACACAGCCCAATCCCCACACAGAGGTGAACACTGTCAGGACTGTAAACTCAAGCACTAGGAGGTTTGAAAACGTGAGAATTAATGTTCCCTTAGCAACAATCATTTGCCCCTTTTTTTGCATGTATATTAAGATAACTCTTTAATTATGTATAGTATTGTTCCCTGGTAACCTTGCTTCTCCACTGCAGGGAAGGGAGTGTGCTCAAAATTTTGATTTGTAGCAAAGAGAGATAAAAATGAAATAGTTTAATGGCTCAGCTCTTAACTGTGGGCTGTTCCTTAGCTTCCTGCAGCCCTCTGCCTTTTCACCATACATCTGCAGTTCTGCAGGTACCAGCCCTCTGTGCTGCCTGGCCTTGGTTTGTTTGTATTTTTTATATTTTTATTGCAAGTATTCATCATTCCACAATTCCTGCCTGCGAGGGAGAAGGTGCCAGCTCTGCCTGGAGGCACGAGGTGTGCGTGCAGATACACTCCTGCACAGAGGGGAAGGGGACAGCCTGGCACCAGCTCTGCTGAGTCTCAAAATATTCCTGATGAGGAGCCTGTGGATAGTTTTGAGGATGCCTGTTGGGAGCCACAGCCTTTGCTGCAGCTGCACCCAACACCACTGCATGCCCACCAAAGACATCATACATGCTGACTCATCAGATTTCTTTTTTCCTTTCCCACCCTCTTAAATTGATTCAGGAAGTTAATTTACTGTCATGTTTCTCTTCCTCTTAATAACTTGCAAATTACCTGAGAAATCCACAGCAGGCTCTGGACCCTGGGCAGCAATTCCTGTCCTCAAAGCTGATGGCTTTGGCAGCAAGTTGGCACTGTTTTGCATCCCAGTGTTGAAAAGCTTTAGAGAGCAGGACCCAGCTCTGCTACCCTGGTTTGTATGAGTGCTGGTTTTGTTATGGCCAAGTGACTGTACAGGAGAAACCTTGTCCTTCCAAGTGATCTTAAATAGATTTAATTCCTATGTAGACATGGAGTATCCAGCAGTACTGCTGCTGGTGTTTAGTCTGGTGTCACTAAGCTCACATTGTGTAAATTAACTGAGCTTGGAAGACACCTGCTTCACTCAGTAGGGAAGCTGACTTCTGAGGGACCCAAACCTGTGCTTTTTTGGGCTGAAAGCTGATGGGGTTTTCTTTTAAAATAAAGAATGTGCTTGTCTCAAACTGATTCCATTGTAGAAAATCCAAGTAGGATTTAGATTGGTGGTATTGGGTAAATTCCAAACAGCAGCTTCCATTTCCTCCCTACCAAAAAGGTTGTAATAATGGATAAACCTTGTTTTTCCTGTTAATGGGAGAACCAGATTTTGGGAGAGCTACTGACCAGCTGTGATAAGTGCAGGTTGGTGCTTTGATGCTCCAGTTATCCTAGTGCACCTTGTGTCATGAAAGCAAGACATCTCCTTTTGCTCACAGCCTGGTCCAGCACCAGGTGGCACAGGTCCCCAGGGAATGATGGTGTATTTTTTACTAATCTTGAATGTTGTTATATTTAAAGCTAAATTTAGTCCTTAAAGTCCTTTATTAATTTTTTTTCCCCCTTAACTTTCAGAACCTTCCCCTCACTGTCAGGCATATATAAGAGTTTTTGGGGATTATGTTGCTCTTTGAGGTGAATTAGCAGAAGGGCATTTTAAAGTTAATTTGGAACATCTGTTTATGATAGTGGAACTATTATTAACGTAATGACATATTGGCTGCCTTTGGTGTTCAGGAGTATTTAACTGAGGGTTAAGCTGTTATCTAAATCTCATTGCAAAGTACTATGGAAAAAGTTACTCTCTGAATTAAAGAAGAAATTAAAACCTGTTTCACATGACAAAACATTCCTTTGATTTGGCATCATTTTAAAAACAAAAATTGCATCAGATTTTGAAGTCTTATTTCAGAGAGTTTTTTAAACTGCATTTTAGCCCTACTATGTTGTATCTTCCTGTCCATGGGGACCTCTTGGGTTATTCTCATGGCAGGATGGGGCTGTTGGTCCATCTCTGCCACATAACTGGACTGTTGTGTGAGTGATCTCCTGTGAGGTCCCATCCTGCAGCAGATCCTTCCATCAGAGTCCATCTCCACTGGAACCAGTCCAGCCTTCTGCCAGCTTTGGACCAGGGGGGAGGTTTTGCTGGGACCCACATGGGGTTTAGTAGGACTGTCCTGGACAAGGTGTTTGTTTAGCATCACTCACAATAACTATGCCAGAAAAATAATACTGAGTTTGTCTTTTGGTGATGATTATGTGGCTTTTGATAAATACAGGGTTTCACTCCTGATTTTAATATTGTGACTTTCTCTTTGTAACTCTCATCTTTTGGAACTTTCATTCCTTATAATTATCTTGTGTTGTGTATTTATATTTGGAACTCTTTATGTGTTGTGTATTTATATTTGGAACTTTTGTGCTCTTCATAACTTAGAGACTGTCCATGTGGGCTTGTAGTTGAGGGGCCTTTAGTGTCAATGATTGTATCTGTGTGCAAAGCAGTGTTGAAAACCAGCATCACGTGTGACAAGTAAAAATAGACAAGGTGACTTATTAGTCCTTTGTTAGGTTAATGCTCTTTTATGCCAGCTGGACTGTAGGAAGACTCAGTGTAACTAACCCCCAGAGGGCATCTCCAGTCTCCTAAAGGCTCCTTGAATAAGTCAAAACTGCAGTCATATTTGCAATGTCACATCCTTGCAACCTTCTGGAGACAGGCTGCAAGAGTTGGGGGGTTCAGCCTGGAGAAGAGAAGGCTCCAGGGAGACCTTAGAGCACCTTCCAGTGCCTGAAGGAGCTCCAGGAAAGCTGGGGAGGGCCCTGGGACAAGGGCAGGGAGGGAGAGAACAAGAGGGAATGGATTAAAACTGGGAAAGAGGAGATTTAAGTGAGACATGAGGAAGAAACTCTTCCCTGTGAGGATGGTGAGACACTGGCACAGGAAGTGTCCCTGGAGTGTTGAAGGGCAGGTTGGATGAGGCTTGGACCAACCTGGTGAGGTTGGGAGGATGCAAGGAGTTGGGTCTACATGATCTTTTAGGTCCTTTCCAACCCAAACCAGTGTGAGATTCTATGCATCAGAATAGAAAACTGAGTAGGGAAAATGTTGTGGCCTGTGGCCTCCTTGACACCTGGCAGTTGTGATGGCTTATCAGGCCATGAGCAGTTGGTTTAAAATACAGGATTTCTGGGATGCTTTGGCTGGCTGTAGGATGCTGAGCTTTGCATGTAGCTGGTGTGTGAGCAGGGCAGAATGCAAAGGTGACAGAAAATTACATCACTGGCACCTTTTCAAGGTGGCAGCAGGAAAACTGAAGGCTGGAAGTGTTTTGCTGAGGGAAGAGGAGACAAAAAGCCTCTCCATGGCCTGGGCTGTGGTCCTGTTGGTTTTTTTGGGGGGGTGGAGTTAGGCTTAAATTTTCAGTCACCTTGTTAAGTCTGCCGTTGTGCTCCAATACACAGCTTACCTTCCAAGCCAGATTAACAGATGTAACTTGCATGAAATATGAGTTGATGAAGTTGAGTTACTTTATGGCATAGCACACCTGCCCCACAAATAACTTTGGACATATATAGAGATATAAATATAGATATAAGCATATCAGAGTGCAGCTGCTTTTAGTATAATAAAAAAGTATAAATTCTATAATCAACTACTGAGGTTTTTAAACAGCTATTTATGACTTCGATTACCTCAAAACTATTTTTAAATAGTCTAAAAACTTCCCCTTCCCCTGCCATAAGGTGTAATAACCTCTGAAATACATCCTGCATTTTAAATGCCTGGTTTTGCTTTTCACAATCTGCAAAGCTTGATGAGTTTTTTGCTCTCAACTTGTATAAACCTTGTGCACTCAAGCATCTTTATTGATGTGTGTATCTATTGTTTCTAATCTGGTCATTTGATCAATGAAGACCAGCATGTAATTAATTGTGTAATATTGTACATCATTTCCCACTCTTCATTGGTCCACATGGATTAGTTATTTGCTAACTACAGTTGTTTTCCTAAACAGTTTCAAGAGGATGTAATAAGAGTGGTTTTGTTCTTCCCTGCCTTCCCATTTTTTTAACTGGCAAATCATTTTTGAGGGAAACCATTTCAAGGAATACTTTTTTTTTAACCTGGATCTCTTTCATCCTAAGCTTAATACTTTTTATACTTTGATTTAATGGACTGAGGTGAAGATGCACAGTTTGGTTGCTATTTCATTTCAGTATCTACGGGGTCAGTAGGAGAAATGAAAAGCCTACTTAGATCCTGAGGACCTCCCAGAGCTCTTTTGCTGGGGAGGAACTGGAAGGAAGAGCTCAGGAGTCTGTCACAGTTTGCCCCACTTTCAGTCTGCAACAGGGACCTTTGGTTCTGCTGCCCCTACGAGATAGGAGATGGTGCGCAAGGAAAAGTTGCATCTGCCTGACCTGTCCACTATGATGTTCTACTTCTGCTGTTTTGGTTCTCATGCAGATGGAGGGAACGAGGAGCCACCAGACCGAAGACAGGCAAGCGTAGACTCCCGCCAGAGCCGATCTGGGCAAGGTAAACCTGAGTGTCGTGCTGCCTCCCTGCCTCGCTGCTCATCCCTTCACCTTTCTCTGCACATTCTGTGTGCTCCATCGTTCTGTGTGCTCCATCAGACTATGTGCTCCTGCAGAGTCCTGTACCCATTCTTATTATCCACATACCTACAAACTGACCAGTGTTCACAAATCAGGCTGCCTTTGTGTAGTGGGAAGGGGTTGAGAGGAATTCCCTGCAGCGTCACCCTTGTGTGGCCGGAGGTTGTTGCTGGTGTGAGAAGCCTTCACCCTGCACCAGTGCAAAGCAAAGGGCCACTGGTATGTGGTGACCACTTGCCTTCCCCTTTATTGCCAAGGGGAGGACCAGGCACCTTTCAGTGAGCAGGTTCTCCTTCCCCCCAGTCCCTGGGAAGTGACAGAGAGGGGTCCTGTGCCTTCCTGCCCAGGGACTGAACTTCATTTTGTTTCATCCTATAGGACAAAAGGTCCCAGAAAGACAGGAGTAAAAACAGATTCTATATTTTTTAAATAATGATTCTACATACTTTTGTTGGTTATCCATCATTCACAAGAAGCTTGGTGACTAAAACTACCACTAAAGCCATGTAAAGGGGATTTCTGTCACTGACAGCAGCAGCTCTGACATCTGCCCTGTCCTATGTGTCCTTTGAAGCAGTTTATTTAAAGTTTTAAGCATTTGCTCATTTGTGAGGGTTGTGAAAACGCTGATATTTTCAGACCGTTCTAGAGACTAAGAAGCACATTTTGGAAGCCTGGCTCTAGTAGGTGCTATGTGCAGTGACTTACTTTCTCTTTCAGATTGCAGCCATAATTTTCCTTTCATTTAGGTTCAAGTCTATTGTTGTCATGGTGTCCTGACTTATTATGGAGACATTTTATCCAGAGTATTGCTCTTTTTTGGCAGTATCCCAGCGTTGCCCAGGCAAAATTAATGCAAGTGACCACAGCCTGTGATCAGAATTAGGGGGATTGGAATTCAGAGTTAAAACTTGGAAGCTCTGTGAAACATCAACAGCTGAAACTGCTTGGTTAGCAAAGGATCATCTTATTACTATTTTTAAAATGTATTATTTACAATGTTCTTATTTTAAGGTAGAAGAGTGGAATAAAATTAGGAAGGAGCAAGGGAGTTTATAACTACACAATATTCCATGTTAGCTGGCATGCAGGTCACTTTGGATTTCTGTGCTGGGGAATATAGAATCACAGAATCACTCTGGTTACAAAAGACCTTCAGGAAGGAGGAATGGTTGCTCTTTTCCAGACACTCTTAGATCAAGTTGCTGCTGTTGGGGCTGAGCCTTTCCCTCTTCCTCTCCCACTGGTCCCTGGGATGTCCTTTGGTTTGTTTGCATTTTGTCCCTCAGTTTGTTGTTAGGAGCTGCAGCAGCTGCTGGGTCTCCCCAGACTCATTTCAGACACTTTATTCTCTACATTTCAGCCTCTTTATTCAGCATCTTGGCTGCTGTGGAAAAGTACCAGTTTGGGGCAGAGGACATGGGGCATTTTTTTGTAAATACTTGGCAAAGAGTGATCAACCTATGTCTGTTTGCCTTCATGAGTATCACTCCAGGAAACGCAGTAGCCAGCAAGAAGTTTAACCATGAGAGGGAGTAGAGGGGGAAACAGGTAAAAAAAATCCCTCCAACTTCTGGGAGAAACAAGCTTCTCTCCTGAATATTAGGATCAGTGGATGTGACTGTAGATGCAAGCTTTCTACAGTGTGGAAGAAGAGTTTTGGCTCCATAAAAGTATTATCTTTAACTTTGCCCTGTTCTGTGTCCATGTTGCTACCTGTCTGCACATGTTAATGTGTATTTTTCATATTATTGGTGTAAGGGGTTTTATTATGCTTAGATAAACGAGCCAACTGAAGTGAGGTCATCATCTTGCTTGTGTTTAAATTTCCCTGTTGCTGTGTGTGATGCCCAAGTATTGCAGGTGTTTGTAAAGCTTTATTCATAGAGTCATTTAGTATCTTGGAATGCTTAAAGAAATAGTTGATTAGTTCAAATACACTTTGCAGTAACATTTTATTTCAATATATTTTATTGACAAACTTGGAGTTCCAGATCAGCCGTGAATGATCCCTGATTTGAGGGTTTGATAAACCAAATATTCTTTCTGACTGAAACAAATTGAAGAGTGTTTCAATTACCTTGTTAGTGTGTTTGTTTAGTTTGTCAGGGATGAGAAGGAGATTTTGACATCTGTGGCAGGGAAATAGTATGGTGTGGATATTTTGTGAGTTCACTGGTTTTGTTGAAAAGCAGTTGAGGGAAAATACTCCTGAAAACTCAGCAAAGTTATAATTACTTTTGTTTCTATATAAGATGCTGCCCCCAGTTGCCCTTGATTTAGGTAAAGATTGGTCAACAATACTGCAAATTTACACCATAACAACCAGTTAAATGCACACAGACTTTTAGGTCTTTCCCAGACCTTATGCTGCAGAAGATGCCTGGTGTTTATTATAGTTCCCTCAACCTTTGAAGTCTAGCCTGAGAAAACTTGCAACTTTGTTTTTAAGAACTAAAATCAATGATGGCAAATAAATATATATTAATTTCTGGTGCTAAATGTATTCTGAAAAAACATCATAGTTTGTTCCTGCCAGTGCCAGCTTTGGCACTGATGCTGGTTTGCCTTTCCTGGCACTCAGGTGATTTGCAGACTTGCAGAGTCAGCAGGAGGTGTTCAGCTCAGAAGAACCCTGGAAAAAGCAAAGGACTTGATCAGCTTCTTTCAAGAAGCTCTAAATGGAGCCAATAATCACAACTGCCAGTGCACAGTTGGAAGAAGTTATTTCTTTTTTTTCCCTTCTATTAGCAGCTTGGTATCAAATTATGCCCTCCTGGAAAAATTATGCCCAACTGCACCAGCAGACCCACTGCATCTTTTGGTTCAGGAAGAACTGAGAAGCAGGATGATCAAACTTGGGATTTGGAGCTGTGCTGAGCAGCAGCTCTGTCCTGTGTGTCATGTATGGGCAAGACTGGCACTTGCTTGCCCCATCCCTGGGGCATGGGGTGTGAGGTGTGGTGGAAGGAGATGTGAGGAATGGCAGTGTTCCCACCTCTGAAGCTGTGGTCGTTGTGTGTAGCTCAGATGTGTGTCAAATGACCCACAAGTGCCTGAGTGTGGGTGGGTGCTGTGGAGTTGCCTGTTGCTCTCAACTCCCTCTGTAGTCCATGAAGAGGTCATGAATGGAGTCAGTGGGGTGTCCAGGCTGGAATTCTTCTCTTTCTGAACAGAAACCCAAAATCTTTCATTAGTTGAATTTTGTCCTAAACTCCAGTCCTTCTAGATAAGTTCCCTTGATGTAGACACCTCTTTTGTGGACAACAAATAAACCTGAGAGGAATGCAGCTTTACACACCAAAGTGCTGCTGGTGTGTGTGACTAGAGAGGGCAGATGAAGTGCTTTGGGGATGGCCACAAGCACAGACCCAGAGTCTGCAATGAAGCAGAGCTGGTGGTGGGTGGTCAGGGTGGCACATGGCAGCATCACTTGGATGGTCTCGGGTTGAGAAGCAAGGCTGAGCTGCTGCTGCTCACGAAGACATGATAGTAAGTGCAGTGGAAAGGTGTAGTAGTTCTAGGTTCTAAGGAAAAGGCAATAATTCTAGTTTCCTCTGACTGTAGCCAAATATTTTTTTCTGTATACACACACACGTGCATCTATATATACGTATATATTTGGCTCTCTATATATATCAAAGGCATGATACTGTCAGCAATAGCATCTTTTAGCAAGAACAATCAAAAAAGAACAGAAAAATAGCAGTGATCTGTTCCCCCTGAAAAGGCTGTACTCGTTAGAGCATTGATGTGCATACTTAATTAAAGCAGCATGAAATTAATAGGAAAACACCGGTGTCTGGCTCATGGTTCGTGGCAATAATGACAGTCTCTGATGAATAAAACATATTGAACTGTAGCACACTTACATGGAAGGTAAAGAAAATCACCTTTTAAAGGATTTGGCTTTGAATCTGTGTTCTGTTAACCACTGTGAATGTGACAAGTGTTCAGCAAGCAAGAGAGTAAGTAAGAGGAGTTTGGATTGTCAGAACTGGTGTGTGTGTAAAGGTTTTTAGTGTTTGTTTTGGTTTCTCGTAGAGAATGGTACAACAATGCTGAGAAATGTCCCTGGAAGTTGGCATCAGTAATGGATGGATTTTAGCCACAAATGATGCTACCTCTTAGTACACTTGAGGAGCTTGGCCAAGATTTTTGACAGTTATTTCAAGATGGGTTTTTCCTCCACTTATAAATAATACATTGTTTTGGTCACATTGTCCCTTGGCTGTCTGGGATAGAGTTAGTCCATCATCTCCTAGAGTACCACCTATTTAAGGCATTTACTCTTTTTTGCTTCCCACTTTGGTCTGTGTGCCCTTTCAGTCTAGCAGTGACCTTTTCTCTTTTAAACTTGTTCTTGGCAAGCCATTGAGATCCCCACAGCTATCCAAGGGAAAAAAGCTCATGAGTGTCTTCATGGAGGAAAATTTCAGTAGGCACTAGAAGTTAAAATCCATCTCTTAAAGGTGTGGCACGAGTGTAATCTTCCTACATTATCTGTACTGAAATATTAATGTGACCAGTTGTAAGTTGGTTTTGCAGATGAATGATGAGTTGTCTGTGTTAGGTTGTTAATCGTATTGACTGGAGGAGGAGAACCAAGTGTTCTTGACCAGAGATTTCCATATTCTACAGCTAATAGGGAGGATCCTCACAGCTCCCACATCTTGCTTATCTGGGCACCTCCCCTTTTTTTGCCATTAATATTTATTGCTGCAGTTAGCAATGTGTGTCTTCAGTGGTTTATCTCCTCTTGTCATGTAATTTGGTGTCTTCCATGTGGATCTGTAGTAACGTGACCCCCGAACAGGCTTCATGTGGCTCTGGGTGCCTCCCTGTTAGGGGAGAGCTGGAGGTGGTGACTGCTTTTGGAGGCTTCTCTTCTTCTGTTTTGGGATGAGGTTTTTTTAGGCTAAAGGTCCTCATAGAATCCCGGAATCCCAGACTGCTTTTGGTTAGAAGAGGCCTTAGAGATCATCTAGTTCCAATCCCCCTGCATGGGTGGGGACACCTCCCACCAGCCCAGGTTGCTCCAAGCCCCATCCAACCCGCCCTTCAACACTGCCAGGGATGGGGCAGCCACAGCTTCCCTGGGCAACCTGTTCCAGGGTCTTACCACCCTCACAGGGAAGAATTTCCTCCTCATGTCTCACCTCAATCTCCCTCTTCCAGTTTTAATCCATTCCCCCTTGTCCTCTCACTCCTTGCCCTTGTCCCAAGTCCCTCCCCAGCTTTCCTGGAACCCCTTCAGGCACTGGAAGGTGCTCTAAGGTCTCCCTGGAGCCTTCTCTTCTCCAGGCTGAACCCCCCAACTCTCCCAGCCTGTCTCCAGAGCAGAGCTGCTCCAGCCCTTGGGTCATCTTTGTGCTTGTCTCTGGACTCACTTCAACAAGGGCCAGAAATCTGAGCCTATGAATGGTCAGTGAGCTGCAGCTTAAGCTTAGCTGTGAATATGGACACCCTTAACCTTGTGAATATTCTCCCGCTTACTCTGCTTCTAGCTAGCTGGAACTCCTGCTCTTATCCCTCTTTGTAGCTCAAGAACATGAGATTTGTGGCATATCTCTTTTCCCCACACTTTTAGCTGGAAGGTTTTTTAGAAATACACGATCTAAATGCACAACAAAAAAAAATACTGCTTTGTCTGCCTTATATTGAAAACTGGTGACTCTAGGACTCTGACAGTCAGATGTTGACAAAAGTCAAAATAACTTCTTCATGGCTGTGCTGTTCATAATAGGTATAATTTTTTCAAGGGAAGTGCTAAGATGGTGCAGGATGAAGAGGAGAAAGCAGCTTTCCCCGTTCCCCCCAGCCAGGCAGTCCTCTGTCTAGGAATGATGAAAGCAGGATATTTCCTTGTATTCTAACCACTTCCTTTGTACTTTTCTGTTCCCACCAGGCACCTCCACAGAGAACGACTGTGCTTTTGAACCAGACTACGCTCTCCCACCTCTCCCAGTGACCGAAGGTATGCAGCACATTCGGATTATGGAGGGCATGTCCCGCTCCCTTCCATCCTCCCCCTTACTCACACATCAGTCTATCAGTGTTCGGCTCCAACCTGTGAAGAAGTTAACTGGTAAGGACTTTAAATAAAGTTCAGTGGGGCTTTTAAGGTCCATTGGTGCAAAAAAAAAATCTGTAAGAAAAGGCTTTGAACAAGCTTCTCTGTTCAAGTCCTCGTTTGTTTGGTGTGATGGCTGCTTCAGTCAAAACCAGGAATGGATTGGATTTCATGCTGGTAGAGAAATCTTTCTGTTCTGATAATGATTTCTCTGTTTTACAAATAATCCTTCAGTTTTCTGTGTTTCAGTTCCACTTTGTACTGTGGAACTGTGGAACACTGCACAGTGTTACAGTAATTTGAAAGAACTTCTTTATGCACAGTGTTACAGTAATTTGAAAGAACTTCATGCTGAAATGTTAAATGCTGAGAGAATACAGCAGCAAAGTGGGATTTTTTCATAGTTCATACCTCTTTTCAAACTGTTTTGTTTCTCTAATCTGCTGGGATTGTGATTTGAACACCTAGAGATTTTTAAATAGTTGGATTTTCAAAAACACTTGGAATCTAACATCTGTTTGAAAGCCTGACAGTGTATTTTGAGTGGTAATAGTTTTGAGAAACTTGCTTCTTGCCTGAAATCTGACATCCCTCCGTGCCCATCTTTAAAACTGATCAGCCAGTATGCTGTGTTGGTACTGAGAGAAATCTCCCAAAAGAATATTTACCCAATATAATCTGTTCTATTACAAAAGGGAGCTCTGAGACACTTTTACCTGTTGTTTTTTTCCCTGCCCTCTGGTGAAAGGAGAAGCTGAAAAGGATGGGAGGATCAGTTCCTGAGCTGTGGGTCTTGTGGTGCTCTGAGCTCAAGGTGCAGGAGAATCAGGCAGGAGGTGATATGAAAAAAGGACATGAAATAGTTAAAAGGCAAGTTTCAGTGCCTTGCTCAGCTGCCCTCAACATGAGTTTCCCATCACTAAGAACTGCTAATGTGTGGCTGAAGGTCTGCCTGGCAATGTGAAGGTGTAAAACAGCTTCTTTGTGGGAATGAGAACAGCTCTGCAGTTCAGAGGCTGGTTCTTCAGGAGAGCTGATGTTGTGACACTGGGAGGGATTTGTGGATTTGGGGGTTTTTTTGAAACACTTCCATTTTCAGTATCCTTCAGTTTGCAGCCCTAAGTCCATCTGTAATGTATGGCTGGTTTGTTCCTGCTTTTCATGGGTTTTCTCCCATGATTCTCACATTCATCCAGCTTCCTTTTCCTTCTAGTTTCTGAGTTACGTGTGGGGATTTTCTTTGGTGTGGTTTAGTAGAGGCAGGTAATACCAGCCAGTTCCATGGGCCTTTATCCAGTTAGGAAAGGACAAAAAGCATTATATTTTACAAATAGTTTAGGCTTTGGTAGTGTCTTTATCTCTTTTTTTGCTCTTCTATCCCCTTCTTTTGTCTATAATCCTCTGTGGTTTTATACTCTTCTGTTGTAGCTCTGAGTGACGTTGTATTCATGCATCTACTTGAGCAGTTCATTACTCTTCTCTGAAATATTTGCAGAGGGTTTAAACTGTACTCTCTGGAAAGAGCAATTTTTCTTACACCACTGCAGCTCCATTTCTCTAGCTCCATTTCTCTAGTGATGTCCAGCCTGCTCAGCAAACTGCCTTGGTGTAGATCTTCTGGTTTGTCAACAGACGTGAACCTCCTTTCACTTCTCAAAATCACAACAATTCACCCTAGTAGATTCAACTCCATATATTCATAAGTATCTCTTTTCAGGGCCAGTTTCCATTTAGCTCCAAACTCAGAGAGCTTTTGTTGGGTTTGGCAGGGATGCTGTTGGAGTGTCCTGCTAGTTCCTCAAAAGAGCAGACCTTGGAATTCCAGCAGTGGTTTGGCAGGTAATGATTCAGGGCAAGGGCTGGTGGGCCATGCAGACCTCAGGGGTTTGGGCAGCTCACAGACACATCTGCTCCAGCCCCAGTGACAGGGGCTTGTAGAGCCACATTGCAGACATTCAGCTGCTGAAGATGCAAACTGCTCTGTTGGTCTGGAAATTGTGTGATGAAATCCTGCACGAGAGATGTACAAAGTAGGATGACACCAATAAAACACTGATAATTGTTAATACTTAAGAAAATGCAGGCTCCTGCTTTTGTTTGGAGGTCTGTTTTGGGGCCACACACACAAACTGGTTGGAAAGATGACTGTGTCTGTCTTCTACTTGCATGCTTATCCTTTTTCATCTGTTTTAAATATCCTGTTCTGAGTACACCCAGTCTAGGATAGCATGAAAAACACATGCCAGTGTTTTGCATGTTCATCTCTTGATGGCTCCAGGGGAGCTCCTGGTCTACTTAGAATTCATTGTGTGTTTCGGTGTGTCGGTGGATTAACGTGATTTTTAAAATTATTAGTTTAATTTACTGTTGATACTGTAAAAGGAAGGTGTTTATTTGACATCCGCATGCAGTCATTATAGGAATTTATTTGCTTTCATTAAGGTAATGTGCAAAGGAACTGGGGTAGTAGTGCTTTCTGCTCTTTTATTCATAGTATTTATCTCGTTTCAACTATTCCTTATCATCTCTTTTTTGTTTACTACTAATCTGAGACTTACAAAGCAAAAAAAATCTCTCAGAAGGATATTATTTTGAATGACTGACCAATTACTGTATCATCCAATAAAAAGGTGGGGTTTTTGACCTGTAGTTTGTACAGACCCTCCTCATTTTTATTCATTAATAAAACAGCACAATCTGTAAAATAAAGAAAATGTGGAATTAATATTAGATTTGTGAAGACAAGTTCACAAATAGCCTTGTGCTGGTTTTTGATGTATTTCTCCCCTCTCTCACTCAATACCCCTCCCTGATTTTAGAGAAGTCTTGGAAGTGCCCTTGTAACCCACTGAAAATCTGGGAGGACTGATAAGCAACTCGGTCCCAGAATCTTGGTGTGATTCTGGGAGCTTGGAGATAAGAACAAGCACCCAGCAGTTTGACAGTAAGTGCATGGAGACATTGCACAAAGTCCCACTGGCTGTGCTGGTTTCCTCTTCTGCTTTGTCTCGTTCTGCTGTCCAGTTGTTAATCCTACACAATAACAGCAGTGATTCCTTTTGGAACAGGGATGAGGGTGATTCTGGGAAACTGCAGTGCTACAAAGAGGGGCTTTTGTCCAGCTGACAGTTGCCACATGGATTTTTCAAAGCGACCTTCAGAGCATAGAAAATTGTTGAAAAATTATCCAGTTGTAGGGGCTCTTTCATGCTGTTCACTTCTTATATACATTTGTGTGTGACTAACCCATTCATGTCATAATTTCCATGTCTGTGGAGTAGTTGGATAGAGGAATGGTACCATTTGTTACATAAAAAACTTGGTTGTCTCAAAAATATATATATATATTTATTTTTTTAACTAAAGATTTCATTACTAAGACCATTTTTAACAAAATGTGACTGAACCAACATCCATATTTATGCTGCTTCACAGATGAAAATATAAATGCAAAAGACTTTTTAGGCTCTTCATGTTTGAGGGCTGAAGTATCTTGGCTCACTCTGGATCTCCACGTGTCCCTTCCTGTGCAGTCAAGTGCGTTTGTGAGCTCAGATGGGGAGGGAAAAGCAGCTACTGAGATGGTCCTTTCTCCTGGGCATCAGGGAGTGGCATAAGCATGAATCTGGGCTTCAACTTAGCCCTTAAAAAAAGGAATGAAACCTGTATGGTGTGGAGAAGCTTGCCTAGTAGAAACTGCTACCGATCTATTTACTAATATGTTTATAATACGATTTTTTAAAGTTGTTAACCTGGCTGATTTGTAAACGAGTCAGCTTTTCATCCCCAGAAAAGTTAAAACATCCACTTTTGGTAAGAAGCCATAGGAACATATCCCACAGTGCATGAACTTACTTTCCTGAGGAGCTGAGGTCACATGCTGACATGTTGATATCTGGGTTTTCTGTGTGTGGAGACTTGGCTGCATTTAGAGGTTGATAAATATTCAGTATGGTTGCAATTTTCCCTCTGCTGAATAGTCTGGTGATTAAGAAAAAACTAAGGTCATTGTGGCTCTAAAGGGTGAAGTAATAGTAAGCATAAGTAATCAGCTCTCCCCCTCCTGCCTCTGTAACCTATTGTTTAGCAGTAGCTAAGAACATACTTAAAATCAGTGTGTTCAACATCAGTTTATGCTGTTTAATAATTTATTTTTTATAACAACAGTGGCTTTATTAGCAAGTGTAATGTGTTAAAAAAAAAATCCATCATAAAAAGAAAAGAAAAAAAAAGCTCTCAGGCTGGTATCAGTTTACAGAAGACGCCATTTTGATTTCTGTCTGGAATAAAATTAGCACTTAAAAGTTGCCAGGCTTCCTGCACAAAGAGAGCAACCATTTTCAAAGCCCTTGGGTTAAATATTCTTTTATAGATCAAGAGTGTATCGTTGATGACTGAAAGTCATGGCTGCCATGAAAATAATGCAGTGGCATCACATCCCTTCATTCAGGAAAGCCTCACTTTTCAGGAGGGTGCTGGCAAGCATGAATATTTCTAAGTGCTTTCCTGAATCCCTGCCAGAAATAGTAGCCCAGTGTTGTATTGGGTTAAAAGATGAGATATTGGGCTGAAAGACTCGACTCCTGATGCTTTTATTCTGTCGCTATGGAACGCACCACTTGCAAAGAGGTTTGTACAAAGCCCAGTGCTGCACCTCATGAGGGATTTTTAATTGACATGCTGTAAATTTATATGTGCAGGGATAATTTTATTCATTGCTGTACTTGGCTATTTCTGGTTTTTTTCTGTTGAGTGACAGATTGCAAGCTTTAGGATTCTTTTAGAAAGAGCATGAGTGTGTGAGTGCCCATACACAGAGGGAAGAGGAGAGAATATTATTAAGAAATTAAGGAAATAAATCCAATTTTTCTAAAAGTGGCCTAGATGTTTAGGTTCAGATTCTC